TAGAAATGCGTTGAATTACCAATGCAAAATGGAGACTTTTTTGTTAGAATGTTTGATGTTTTGACAATAGTAAATTAAATTTCTGGTTGAAACAAACAAATGAGATGGCACATGTCTCATATTTAGAAACTGTCTTGCTGAATCTCTTCCCATGTCTGCCTAGTCCTGCTGTTCATTCAATAGTAGTCAGCACTGGATACCTCAGAATGTCTCATTTTAATCTTGAAGTATTTCCTTACTGTGTTTTATATTTTCAGCCATTTGTTCTTCAAATTTGACTTTGGCTGATCTGATTTCTCTACCGTATGTGCCCAGAAGCCCCAGAGGCTTTACTTTTCCTCCGCATTTCCTAAACAAGAGCAATAGCCTTGCTCAGATTTCAAACTGCTTGCACAGGCTTTCCATTCATCCACTGGTCAGGAAGCTAATGTTGGGGGCAACACTTGGAAGAAGGCTTTTCAAGCAAATACATACCAAAAAGTTTTACATTCTTACGCTAGTGATGGCATTATTTTTCCCTTTTGAAAGTCCTTTTTAAGATTGCCTTTCCATTGCCTCTTCCCTTTCCCACATTCCCCCTTAGATTGGAGCCTGTCAGCTCACTGGAGCACAGGAACTGCAGCATTTCTGAAAATGTAAAGGTTACCCTAATTAGACTTTATATTTTTCTTTCCTATTGTTCTTAAGCGCTGTTGTTTACAATGCCTTGTAAATCCATCTGATAGCCAGTTCCTGTCTATTAGAGCTCCAGTTCTCACTGTCCACACTTACCTGTCTTACAGCTACTCAGTATTATCTGTCTAGCTCTCTTTCTGTCACTTTTTGATCTTTCAGTCTGCTGGAAGGTCCGCCGCCTGATAGATGTCAAATTGAAATAACTAAAGGATGTAGCTAAGAGACAGAAGTGAGCTGTCATTAGGCCTTCCAGCCCTTTTATACCAAATACACAACCTTTTAAAGGGTTTTAGAGAATTTTGCTCAAAGAAAAGAAAGGAAAACAGAGCTGGAAGGTTCTCTCTGTCTTTCATCCTCTTGCACCATGACTAAAACGTCTGTCCCATTTCCTCCAGTCTGCCCAGTGAGGAAGTGAAAAAGCCTCGGGATACTTCCCTTCCCTGGAGCAGTTCCTGCTCCACACATTCGGGTGAAGAACCCAGAGAGGAGCTGAGATGGGGCATGAAAGTAAAGAGTAGATGGTAGGGACAGAACTGACACCAGGCTGGATGCAGAAGGGATTTCTGGGCATGGTGTTAAGCAAGGAAGCTGGAACGATGCAATTAGACACTTTAAATGTCATTTTGGGCATATATATAACCTGAGTTAAGCATGAAGAGTAACGGGAGTGAAGAGTTTATCTGAATAATATGTTTCTGGGTACATGTATGATACATGCTGCAGTTTTAAAATCAAATCACCGCTTTGACCAATCACATTAGTTGCAGCTACAATGTGTTTGAAGAGTTTTGACACCCAAACATTATAGTATACTATCTGATCATCTGCTGGGAAAAGTAAGAAATCCTCCCTTTTCCTTGTCTTACGCTACTTATTTTTTGAAGTATGTTTTTGTCAAAATGAATTTATTGAGCAGACAGGCAGAGAGAATGAAACATACTACCAGACAAAACAGCCAGCCCAGTTAGACAGGTACTAAGCTCCCTTATGAGTCTTAGCACTGCTAGTGGTTTACATATTCCTGTTGCACCAGCACTTCCTCACCCCCTTGCTTATCAACTTTAACTATCAAATGGAGTATGGCCCCATACATGATAGAGCCACATTCATCCCTGTGATCACAGAGTTACTAATCATCCCTGCACTGGATGGATTTGGGTGGTGCATAGTTGGCAGACGTGAGACCGTGCACTGCACAGTGTAGAGACAACAAAATACTGATTTTAGCTATATGAATGCTGGCCATGTTGCCTAGCAAACGAGATTCTGGAAAAAATGCTGTGTACTTCTATGATTCAATGCAGCACTCTAATATGTACACGCAAAGAGATGAAATAAGGTTGCAGGAACTTGCTTGGCTTTGCAACCTATTATAATTGTTTTTTGAACAGAGTTTTTCCATCTTGCATAATCAAGAATAGTCCTGAGGAGAAACACAGGGTCATATACCAATATGCATAGCTGATGGAGAGGAAAAATGAAGGAAGAAAAAGCAGGAAACAACAAAAAAGATTCAAGAACAGAATCAATATGTGTTAAAGCTCTTTTTATTTACAACTTGAACTTTACCTTAAGAAAAAGCTGGAGAAATTAGAAAAGAACAGAGAGATTGAGGGACATGCTGAACTTAATTTAGAATGGCAAAATGCTGTAAAAATTTTAATTATTGAGCGTCCCTGATTACTATCTTCTTACTGCCTAAATCGTGTTTTATGGAACCTTCTACCTGCGTGTGAGGCATCTGTGTGTGCGCATACACGTGTGCTTATATATGTGTTGTTCACTGCACTGTGCCTTTATTGATTTCTAGAAGGATGACTTCAAGCAAAAATAAGTATTTCCATCATTTTGCCTTACCTGCCTGTCTGTCAGTTTTTAACAAATCCACATTTTCCAATTATACTTGTCTGTCATGTGACATTTTTATCTGACAAGTAAATTAAGGTCATTGGGAAGTTTCTGGCTTGAAAGCCCCTTATAGTGACTTGGCTACTTGAAAAAAAAATCCTAATATATTGGACTCTGGCACCTCTGCCAACGCAGTAAAACAAGAGAAACAGAATGATCACTTTTTAAGTATGTACAGTCTCAGCTAAAAATCGTATTGCTTAGAGGTGGAAAGAACTAAGTCAGTCTAGATTTTCTCCCCTTCGTGAATTTGACTCTGGTTCCTGATAGAAAATACATGTTATTAAACTGATAGATTGCATTCTGTTTTAGCTAAAATACCAAGAAATACCAGCTCCATTCAGCAGAAATGATCCGGGACACGTGGCTTTCTTCATCTCGATAGCTGCAGAGTGCTTCTTTGTACCATGGAATCAGTCCCTACATTTGCACCTTTAATTTTCATGAACAAAGGCCCTTGGTTGTCTCCTGGGCGATGAATGTCTGTTGAAGAAAACCACAGCTAATTTATCTGCGCC